TAATAATTCCATAGACATCTTGGAAATAAACATCCATTTTCAATCCATGTTTCAGTAAAATAATCAAAGAAGTCTTGTGAACGTGGTATATGTTCAAATTTATCCATAATTTTGCACCATAATTCATTGACTTCTTGAATAGGCATAAAAGCTAAAGCTCCAGTTTCTTGTACTAAACGTTTTACACTGGTTGGATCATCGTTCGATGAATTATAATAATCTTGTTGTAGTCCAATTTCTTGAATTTTTCTGAAAATACATTGGTTGTAGTGGAAATTACAACCTTTAATTTTTGAATTAGGAAATACATTTTTTAGAGCTGCAATTGCACCTTTCTCGAAGTCAATCGTAATGAATTTTGGATTTAAAACTAAATCATGTTGAAGAGTAATGGTTCTTAATTCATTAAATAATAATGTATAAATTGATTTGGTTTTTTTTGGTAAAAAAGAATAAAGAACCGGTACTGTACCATTCGAAGCAGATGATTCAATATGAATGGTATATAGTTGGCCGAATACTGATGGGCATGATTTGAAAGTTCCATCCATGAATAAATGATCAGCTGCACATAAATCTTGTAATGATTGTGCTGTACCAAAAGTAATGAATCGAGGATTATGGTGGTCGATAATAATAAAATCCTGGTTGTCTAATGACATACGCCATGTACCTAAAAAATCAAATATATTTATTAAAAGACATTAAGCAATTTTTGTCATAATATAGCCTACCTTCAAGAACAAATTCATTAATAGATTCTGGAACGCTTGGATAATTTTCATTCTTGGTCCGGTATAAAGAATTTTTTATTTGATGATACATAGGTAATTCACAAACATCATCCGGACTACTTGAATATCGTTTAATAAGTTCAGAACGATATATTTTTTTGATAGGTGTTTGTGTTTCACGTATACTTTTTTTCAGGCCTGTTTTAAATTGTTCGATTTCATTTCGTATTTTGTCCGGATCATGATTGTGTGGTGATGTGACAATAGGTAAGTCATTACTTCTTTGTATAACACGTCCACGACAATCACCAATACGTTCACACCGCCAATAAGTAGTAGTATTACGAATTCGTTCACGATGATAACGATATTCATCAAATAACAAACATTGTTTACCTTTAGTAGTTTCAGTAACCGAAAACATATTGATTTGAATGTATATGTTATATCCACAGCACATGCATTTATATATGTTTTCGTACACAAAGAAAACAGAGAAAACAAAGAACGCAATGGAAACAAGCACATTATGTTTCTTCTAGTATATTCTACATGACTAATCTTATGTGTGAAGAACAATCATGTTCACTAATAGAAAGTGTTTATATGCCCTTTATGCTGATGATAATATTTATTTTAAAATTGTTGGATAGTGTCACCACGATCTACTTAATTTCTTTTTCCAAGAGAAGATTTCTTTATGAATATTCGAAAATTGTTCATTAACGAATTTGTCGATGAAATGGGAAAACGAATTTGTCGATGAAACGGGAAAAAAAATTTGTCGATGAAACGGCCTAATTAAGGAAGTGTCGATGAAACGGGAATATACCCTTCAAAATAATATTCCTTGTTTTGTTTTGACTTTGAAGTCTTATCAATTCATCCTATTAGAGGAGCTACTAATCATGCCTCATATTGTTTATAACTGTTATTAACTGTGCAAGGCTCTTAGAGATTAAATAAAACTGAGAAAGGTTTATATTTATCTTAGTCTCAATAGATACAATGTAATTTACCTATAAGTCTTAATGAAATAGTATGTTATTTAATTAATATTAAGTTATCTCTGAATAGCTCATAAGGATTACATTCTTTTCCATTTTCATGTGTCAGAGTACACAAAAGAAGATAAACATTAATAAAACCGATTGACATGCCTTCGTGACTTTTGAAAATGATTTGATGAGAGCAAATTCCTAATGGAATTTTTATTCCGTATAGAATCCGAAGATTAATGCTCGAAAAATGAAGATTTTCATCATTTTGACAAGCAAGAAATGACAACAAGACATATGTTGATTATCAAATATTGTTTACATATACATGTCATAATCAAAAAATTTCCAAATTTCGAAAAATCTACCGGTCAGCTGTTCTTCAATATACATATAGACTGTTCTTAAAAATTTGATTATTATAGATAAGACTAACGTGCATGTTGATGAGTCGTCCTTGCCGATATACTATTATTATTTTAGCTCGTGCTGCTATCGTTCTAAGTGCCATACTAATAGTATTGTCAATGTCATTAAGTACAGTGAAACAAAAATGATAACTTATTGCACCATATTGCTTACTGTAATCATCAATTGACTACAGTTTGTGTCTTTAGAAATATAAGTAAAGAAATAATATGGAATTTTGAACCAGAAACTTTCATAACATTTTTTTTTCAATGATGACTAATTAATTTATCATTAACATAATGATATATTAATCGATTATTAATATAAACATTAGACAAAGTGTAAACGGATGGACAGGAAAAGTTTTTTTTTTTTCTATCTGTTCGAATAGAGAATAATATTGGTGGTGTTTTTTGTCTATCGATAGAAAAAGAATATATTCTAATTTATCCTATAGATTTTGTTTGATAATTGAAATTAAATTTTTCCAAATGAATTGATAAAATTCTAACGAATTATCCCTCATTCAATATTGATTGATGTCCGACTGAATCTATTTCCGTATTGATTATATCCAAATGGGTCCCTTTTTGCCAAATCTTCCAAGCCTCTATGCATATAAATATGATGGATGATAGTTATGCCTACTATCCATGACTGAAATTCATTTGTTCCACAAGAGACTTTTTTCTGTCTGTCTACACATACAAATTTTCTGTCTATTGTATTGTTTTGTTGTCGTATGGACTTTGTTGGAATCCAAATGGAAACATGAGATCTCAGATGGTTAACCTTTATCTTTTTTTTTTACTAGTCGACAATCTCCTGTTGATGAAGTCAAGAAAAAAACAAGCCAAATATCACCAGCTGGTCTCTCCAAAGAAGCTTTTTTTTCTCTCTAAGTATATATCCTGCATGTTTCTCTTATTGTGATCGATCTGCAAGACGTTTGATTAAAATACTCAGCTATATTCATACAGATATTCATTCATTAGAATATTGATCTTGTTTTCTTTCTCTTTAGCTTACTAGTACCATTTACCAGAAAAAACATCCACCCTCCTATAACTGTGGTATTACTATCGTATAAGCAGTCTAATTGTGTTTGTTCGTGTACCGTCAAAAAAGAACGACAAGAAAGGATTATCTTTTACTATATTCGTAGCAATAAAAAAATTACATATCGACATAATCTTAACTGACAACGACAAGAATCTAAGCACGTTTTGTACGTCAAAATATACAAATTGATTGGTCGTTGATTTCTAAATTCTATCTATAGGCCGATTAACAATATATGCAATTATGAATCAATATTATAGGTAAGTTGAAAAAATAGAATATATTTGTTCTAAAGTCATTTTTCTTTTATTAACAAATACTATTATACGCGTCAATAATCAACGGTACTAATTCAATTTCACTATAATCTCTAATGTTTTCAATTCATAGTTATAGACTTTTCTATTTAATTCATGAGGGATTTTGAATTTGCATTGAATTAAGAAAATGACTATTCAGTTTTCTCCTTTTATTCTATCTATATTCTATTGAAAAAAACATCATTTCTAGACACTATCTATCAATAGTATCGTCAATAACATAAACGTTATAAAAACGAGTTTTGTTTTTTCTTAGTAGGAAATCAGACAGATATATATATCTATTAGCAAAACAAGGTAAAAGAATTTTTTTTTGTGTGAAACAATCGTATCATAGTTGTTGTTGTTGTTGCTATTTTTCTTGTAATCTATAATCCTTTTTAATTGAAAAACAACAAATATTATGTATGCATTTATACATGATGTTTTTTGCCTATGTTCTAATGGGCAAATTGAGTTGTTCTTTTCTTTTGATTGGGATAGTATGTATATAAGCAATAAACGTTTGTCGAAGACACGTGCCATATCGTATGGTTAACTATGCAGTTATTTTTATTCTTGTTCTTATTTTTCAAGTTCAATTAGAGAAACTTGAGAGCAAACACTCGTTTGTTTTTTCTTTGAATACAAGTTGACAAGGCAAGACACTGATTGCCTATGTTGATAAAACAAAGGCATGCAGATCAAATTTCTTTCTAGATCTGATCTTGATCAGAAATATAAGATCCATAGAAAGAAGGTAAAAAAAAAGAAGAAGAAGAAAAAAGAAAGTCAGGGAAAAAGAAAGCACGCTAGCAGCTTTGAAATACTCATGCAATAAAATAATGCTAGTATTTGTATCGATAGAAAGCTCTAAGCATAACTTTGAGGCCGTGTAAGTAAAAAGCAAGCTGATGAAGATTTCTACATTCAAATTACAAATAGTCGTTCAAATATTCTAGAAAAATTTCTTTTAAAGAAACAACAACTAAGAGAAAGAAAGAAGTTGTCATAATCATTATTATAATCTGTTACTTCGAACAAACAGGGAACGAGCGAGTAAGAAGTAGAAAACAAAGTCAGGAAGTCGGTGAGAATGAAACTGATTTTTAACGTCGAATAAGAGAAAGAAGAAACAAAAAAAAGAAAGCATAAGAGGGTGTGTGTGTTTGTGTATATGAAGCAACAGCCGCGCGGCGTCGAGAGCGAGAAGTCCATTTAAGTAAATTAATGTTCATCCTTCTGCATCCCAAAAAAAAAAGCTTTCGTTGTTTCTGCACCACACAGTTATTTTTCATAGATTGACGTAGAACGCCTGTGTGTACTGGCGCCAAGAGAGAGAGAGAGAATATAAGAGAAATATAAAAAAAAAATAGGGAACATATGACAGTTATTGAACATGACTGGTGTTTTAGTATAGTGTGTTGTGACGTGTTCGAATGTAAATTTGATCGTACTTTGCCATTATAGGCCAAGCATAAGTTTCATATTGTCTCATGTCATCGACAAGCCATTTGATTGTAACTCAAACCAAGGAGACGAAAGTTAATAAAGGTCATAGCAGTTTCAATTTGGAAGTAACAGCTTGTGACGATTCATCAGATTTATTATATTCATCATCTCCGGCAACAAATCATAACTATCTTTATTATGTAAATGCTGAACCACCTCGAAAACAATCGGTTGCAGTTACACATACTTTAACACCAACATCATCAATAAAAGAATCTACATTGAATGTTCGTCGAAAATTAAGTGCTATTTCATTGCCTGTTCCTTGGCATAAACGAAATCGATCACCTAGTGACGATAAAACATCAACTGATTCGGTTCCGAAACAATCACAGCAACATCGAAAATCTCATATTTTTCGTAAAATGTCTCGAGATCGTCTATTGACATTAGACAGATTATTTAGCAGTGGCACACATACCACTACAACGACAAACGACGATGAACAAGCATCACCAATAACTGAATTCACGGCACTTGATGAATCTATTAGATCTAGTGAAAAACCGATAAAACCAATAAAAGAAAATGGTTATTTACATAATTCACCACGTTTAATGACCAGGTGAGAATAATAAAAAACAAAAAGAAAATAACCTATCTAGAAATCAATTGTTACATTATATAATTTTCTAAAAGAAGATTAAATTTCCATCAGAATGAGGTTATATTGTGTCATGAGTAGTTATATAAACATAGATCAAAACTACTCAAAAAACAAACTTATGTCAAATAATGTTACCACTAACAGAATATCTGGTTGTTTTTTTTTCATTTTTCTTTGTCAGACAAAAGCAGACAACAATTAGTGTTAGAAATACGTTAATATTTGACGTTAAAATTTTCTGCTATATGAATTCCTATTTGCGTAACATATCAATATAGTAACAAAGATTTTTTACTGTAGTAAGATGGAATCATGTTATTCATTCTTTTTTCTTTTTGGTTTTCTTCTTGTCTTTTTATAGGCTACAGTGTACAACGAAAGGTACGAAAGCTTTACGCCTATTAGGCGATGGTGGTGGAACGAATGACTGTAATCAAAATCAAGATCAAGCATTTTATACAAAAGACTTTAGTTTTACTAAACATAGTACACGAACACCTCATCAACGTCGACTTTTACTAAAAAATGGTGAAGTCAACATTTCCAGGTACCTAATTAACTTTTGTTCATTATTATTCTAGTAAGAAATAAAATAGGAAATTGCTATAAGAAATATAAATGTATGTCTACAAAGGAAAGAAAAAAGTAGCATGGGACGTTCTATAGTACGATTCATTACTCATAGACATAAATATATGAATAAAAAAACATGATAAAAGTGTTTTAGAGTGCTTGAAAAATCGACCATTGCGACATGAAAATAAAAAAAAGATTAACCATAAAGTGTAAATGAATTTCCGATAGATAAATAAAACATTTATTTTCTAAGACACAAGAATAAAGAAATCATCAATCATCTGTTCAAATATTTTTTTTCTCTTGAAAAAAAATAATAAATCATATTTAACCTGCTATTTATGAAAAAAAAGAAATTGTTTTTGATTTCTTCCTGCCATATGCCTTTTCTTTAATTGAATATAAAAATATATGAAGAATAGTTAACTTCAATCTAATATGAAATAAATAGTTAATTACAACTTTTATAAACTATTCATTTCCAGATACAATTATTTTTTTTTCTCTCTTATTCCTAATATTGATACAGATTTTTTTTATTGCGACACCTCACAATCAGAATCATGCTATTTATAATTTTATGTGTAATCCGTCAACATATCCGGAATGCTTCTATATATTTTTCTCTTTAGTACTCATGATTTTTATTCAAATAAATAATTGTGTCATATAATCAATAAAATACTTGATAATATTATTTCTTTTTCTTTTTCTTTTCGTAAAAGTATTATATTAATTGAGCATGTTCATATTTAATAAATAGTTTGATGCAAATAATAATATGAAACTAACTGTAGCAGTAGGATCATTATAATTATTGAAGAAAAAATAACAAAGAACTTTTATTTTTACATAAGTACTACTTAAGCTTTTCCGTTTCGTTGATGACGTTTTTTTCTTTATCTCGATCGATCGCTCGATCGATTAATGAATAAAAGGCAGAGTGACATAAACAAAAAAAGAAACTACATCATATCAGTCTGTTTTTCAGAATTGTTTTGTCAAACAACAAGAAAATAATTGAATATTTTGTAAAAATAAAATTATTCTTTAAGTTGAAGAATGTTCAAATAAGGAAATGAATACTCAAGGAAATTTTTATTATCAGAAGAAAATGAGAAAAGTTGTGTGGAAAAATCGTATTGTCTTAATGGAAATATGCACGTTTCAGAACGACTTGACTTTGTTGTTAAGAAAGTTTTAGTTATCTAATAGATTAAGACCACAAAAGAAACATGTTTTTTTAATCTACTACTGCCAATCAAGATTAAGCAATGTTTTTTATGGCGCAGACAAAAATAAGAATTTTTCTTTTTGCTAATTAAAAAGGTAAAAAAGTCAGCATACTTCAAAGGTTCATGATCCAAGAATAAGTTATATGCAAATATTATTTCTCGAACTTTTATTAAAGAAAATCTAAAAATATAGTATATTCATTTATATATATATTATTTCTATTAAATTAGATTTAATATTGAAAAACGTCGTCGTCAATATCTTGCAGACATCTTTACAACATTAATTGATTTAAAATGGCGTTATGCATTATGTTTATTTACACTTGGCTTTTGTTTAAGCTGGTTAGCGTTTGCTTTAATATGGTATTTATTAATGTATATATATGGAGATTTACATCCAAATAATTATAACTCAGCGAATTATACTGTATGCATAGCGGGTGTACATTCATTTGCTGGTGCAATACTTTTTTCAATTGAAACGCAACAAACAATTGGTTATGGTACACGTGTTGTTAAAGAAACATGTTATTTTGCTATTCTTGTTATGATGGTACAATCAAGTATAGGTGTTTTATTACAATCATTTATGGTTGGTGTTGTTTTTGCAAAAATTTCACGACCCAAAAAACGTACAGAAACATTAATATGGTCACGTGAAGCTGTTATATGTTTACGTGATGGACAAATGACATTACAATGTCGTGTTGGTGATATGCGTAAATCACATATTGTTGAAGCACATGTACGAATGTATTTAATAAAAAAACGTGTTACTTTAGAAGGTGAAATATTACCATTACATACATATGATATGAATGTTGGATTTGATAAAGGTGTTGATCGTTTATTTTTAATTTGGCCATTAGTTATTGAACATATTATTGATGAACAATCACCATTATATGGTGTTAGTCGATCGGATTTAGTTAAACAACGTTTTGAATTAGTTGTTATACTTGAAGGTATTATTGAATCAACTGGTATGACAACACAAGCTCGTACATCTTATTTACCATCAGAAATTTTATGGGGTTATCGTTTTGAACGTTTAATTACCTTTCAACGTGATGATGGTTTATATCGTATTGATTATTCACGTTTTAATTTAAGTTATCCAGTCGATATGATAACATGTAGTGCAAGAGATTTAAAAGAATTACATGAATTAGAAAAATGGCATGAAAATAATCAACATCATAGTTATGAGTATGTTATTTGAAGTTTCATTTCCATCAATAAAAAAGCTAAATATCTTTAGAAAACTTGATATACCGATGTCAGTGCCAAATACCGCAACAACGACAGCAACATCTTCGCCATTCGTTTGGCAAGAAAAAAAAGAAAGCACTTTGTGACGGTCACTTCAGTGCATTTCCAATCGTTTATTCATGTTAGTAAACTGTTCCTGTTATTTCTACTAATACTTGTGTGTTTTAGGTGATAGCACAATTGTGCATAATTTTTAAAAAAAGCAGTGATTTGGCTCAAACTTGCTTATAATGGTCATTTGTTCTTTTTTTTTACTTGTCCAATTATATAAACGGTGGTTAGCTTCAACAGATATATATATATTTTTTTTTCCTTGATGATTTTCTTGTTAATTGTTTTTATTTCTATATATTTTTTTCTTCCTTTTAATAAGTCTATACACACTTTATCCTGAATACCTGTGTGCACATTTGAGTGCAAATTGATTGTATACTAGATTGTATATATTAAATGTGTGCCTATTTATAAAAGAAAAACGAATTGAGAATAATTTTTATTAAAAACTATATTTTAGCAGAAAAATCTTAAATTAAAAATATTTTCCTTTTCATTGAAGTTTATCATTAACGAAAAATAAACGAAGAGTATTTATTTTGATTTATAAATACATCATTTCTTAATTATTTAATTAATTACAAAAATAGAAATTTTTATTTTTATATTTAATGAGACATGTTTTATATTCAAGATTTTTAGCTCGAAGTCGATAAGTTATCATGATAAAATAATTCCTTCATTTGTTTTCCTGAAAAAGACATTTGAAAATCTTTTAAATTGTTCCGATTTTCTCTAAAATATTGTACAAAATGAGTGTTCAGTTATATACATATTGCGAAAATGAGGCTAACTCAATTTTAAAGTTTCTTATCGTTATGTTTGTTAAATCTAAACAGTGATACATAATACAATCGCGTGTAACAATAAAGAATAAGTACAATGACAATTAGTTTAATTTGAGTAACTTTGATCATATATGAAAACATGTATGGGTATGTCGGAAGGTCGATGACTTAAGAAGTTGATTGGAACATTTCTGTTAAAATTAAACGGATTTGAGGCCGGACGATTGCACGTTTTGTTTGAGAATTAATGAAAAAAAAATCACTCAAACTACGTTGGAGAAAACAAAAAGTTTTTGACATTGAGAGGCCAAAAAACTCCGCTGGAAACGTCCTAAAAAATATAATATTAAGTGAGAGTAACAAGAGAAGATAATAATTCATCGATGATGTCTGATATCTAAACAAACTATAGATTTATTATTTAAATTTTCAGAATCTTCATAAAAATTTTTACTACGATTGATTTGAGTTAAATCAGAAGATTATTTTTTTTTTCAAATATTCTACTTATGAACTATTATACAGTAGTATATAATAATGTACTAATTTGAAAATAATATGCTTCCAGGAGATGTAACGCTGTACTTTAAAATCGCATTAACAACAAATTTTATACCAAATTAAAGCACGTCAAAAATGACATTTATCAGTAATTAATCTTAAGTATTATGGCAACTATTTAGTGTTGAATCGAGGAAATTCCTGAGTTTTACACCATGTCGACATAGAAAAATTCTTCTCATGAAGCAGTTCAAACTAAATCTCATTAAAGAATGATGAGTATCACATAATAATGTTTATTTTCTTTTAAGGTTTGATGAATATAATTAGTAAGTAAGTATGGTAACCATTGGCGTTCTTCACAGGACCGAGACAAGACGCATACCAACATAAAAAAGTTTCTCATAAATCAATCTTTGTTTCGATTTTTCTCAAAACATGAAATCCATTTTTTTCAGTTTCATCGTGATAACGATTATGTTTCGTCTTTGACAGCATTTTTTAAACTCCATTTTCGATTCTTTGTCGCCATGTTTACATATAGGTGTCGATTACTTTGTGAAACTGAAAAATTTCCTCAATTCAATACGAAAAAGTTGTCATAATTCTTACTGTTTAATACTGATTAATCTCATTTTTGATGCGCTTTAATTTGGTATAAAATTTGTTGTTAATGCCATTTAAAAGTACAGTGTTACCTCTCATGGAAAAATATTATTACCAACTTAGTATATTTCGCATTTATGATAAAGATGAGAAAATCATAGATTAATGCATATGTTGAAATTTTATTATTGTTCAAAAATAATTTTGAATATATAATATAAAAACATAATGAATCAAAGAATACAGCTTAGAGAATAATAAACAACATTATGATAACAAAAATAAAAAAAGAGAAGAGTATTTTTTTTATTTTAAGGGTAAAATTTTCTCGATTAATATAATAAATATTCGTACATCATCTTAAGAAAACGGCTCCATTATTAAAGTTTTTACTGAACTTTTTCGTTATTGTCAACTTTCAATTCATTTGAATTCTTCTTTGCATCAGTGAAAGCTTTCATTACCGCAACACCTACTCCAACTTTGGCGAAAAGTGCGCCTACGGCACCAGTTGCTGTTGCACTTTGCATAAAACCAAATACACCCGGAACGAAATGCGTGGCTTGCCATCAAGCTGCCCAAGAGCCTGCCGTTACACCAATGGATGAAAAGCCGATAAAGCTGAATGCTGCTGGTATACCAAACAT